AAGAAGGCCGCGGCGGCGGCGGCGGAGGAGACGGTGCAGACCGAGGAGGTGACGGTTGTTGAGACGAAAGAGGAGGTTAAGGTTGAAGAGGTCAAGATTGAGGAGACTGTCGAGGATAAGAAACCCTCGATCGAGGAATCGGATGTAAATGGCTCTGTTGATGATCAAGGTAACGATTTTTGAAGAGTTGATCTGTAAAAGATTGTTCTTTTTTTTAATTGACTTTGTTGTTCTTGATGTTTGTGTGTTTCTAAGGTTTTGTTTTGTCTAACGTTCTTTTTTATTGCTAATTGATTTGATTGCCTCTAAATTGTAATTGAGATTGGTTCTAGGGCAAATATTCTTATTCGAGAGTAAAGTTTATCCTTTTTGATTGCTCATTTTCTTGGTGTTTCTTTAGTGCAATTTTCAGCTTCTTCTGTAGCTTTATTCGAGACAATGATTGTTTTAGTAATTGTGTTTCTTAGTTCAAAAGTTGTATCTTCATCATATTCTTCTTTGTTTTATCCAAGTCTTTCAAGTTCTGTTATATAATCTTTTGAATATAAACCATATTAAATATGTTATTAAATTCGATAAGGTTCATGAACTTATATATCTAAATCTTGTCAAAAGGAGAAATTTCTCACCAGTTTGTGTTTCTCCCAAATCCTGCAAATCATGTTATATATTTCATGCTCAATCACCTTATATAGATAAGGTTCACAAACCCTTAACCCTTTGGATGCTCCAAATGGCAGCCTGAGAACGTAGACTGTTTTCCTTACTCCCTACCTTTTTTTCACGCGCACAACCTTTTTGTAATCAAAATAAGAAATATTCAGGAATTTATTTGTTCTTTTGGGTTATTTAGCTCCTTATGGGTAATGTGTAAATGGATTCTGGATATAGATGTAGAGGAGGAGCCATTTGAAGAAGAAGAAGAAGAAGAAGAAAGTAGAGGTGAACGGTTAGAACTTGAGGATGAACCAGAGTATGAAGCTGAAGAGGAAACTGCAGTAGACTATGATGAGCGAGATGTGGAACATGCCGAGCAGGAGTTGGAGGGTGAGGAAGCTGAGGAAGACGGTGAAGAGGAGAATGTGGTTGAAGGGGAAGAACCCGAGTTGGTAGATGAAGGACTGGAGGATGGCAGGGAGGATGCTGAGGGTGAAGAGTATGCGGAAGGTGAAGACGAGGGACATGAGGTTGATGGTGAGGATGAAGAACACCATGAAGTTGTTAAGGAACACCGCAAAAGAAAGGAATTTGAAGTATTTGTTGGGGGTTTGGATAAGGATGCAACTGAAGATGATCTCAGGAAGGTATTTAGTGCGGCTGGGGAAATTACTGAAGTTAGGCTCATGATGAATCCTCATACAAAGAAAAACAAAGGCTTTGCTTTCTTGCGTTTTGCAACGGTTGAACAAGCAAAACGCGCTGCTTCAGAGCTCAAGGCTCCAGTGGTTTGTTTCTAATTTGATCCAACTCTTGTTGCTTTTACTGTCTGCTGAATAATTTGTTACTTATCTTGGTGGTTGCAATGGTCTATTTATTATATTGATCAGGTAAATGGGAAACAGTGTGGAGTTTCTCCCAGTCAAGACAGTGACACAATTTTTGTGGGCAACATTTGCAAGACTTGGACCAAGGAACATGTAAGTAGCCTGAATGTCTTGGAACTGTAGTTTTCTTTTAGCCATTTCATTCGAAAGAGAATGTATATAACTGCTATATCTTTAATCTGTCTAGTTGAAGGAGAAATTGAAGAATTTTGGAATTGAGAATGTTGAGGACTTGACCCTGGTTGAAGATGCAAACAATGAAGGAATGAATCGTGGTTTTGCATTCCTGGAATTTTCTTCACGTTCTGAAGCAATGGTAGCTTTCAGGCTCTTGCAGAAGAGGGACGTCTTCCTTGGAACTGAGCGAAATGCAAAGGTTTCTTTTGCTGATTCTTACATTGAACCAGACGATGAGATCATGGCTCAGGTAAATGGCTTTTTACAACTATGTTGGTTTAATTTTAGTTTCTAGACCTTATTCGACCATGCTCATTTACGCATTAACTTAATCTATCCTTTTTTATGGACTAGCTAATAGTATTGTATTAGGACTTTGTCATTACACTATAATCATGTCTGTGTTTTCGATATATCTTTTAATTCATAATTGTTGTGTGATTGTGTATTTTAATTTCAGGTCAAGACTGTTTTTATTGATGGTTTGCCTGCTGCATGGGATGAAGACCGTGTCAAGGCGTATCTAAAGAAGTATGGTGTAATTGAGAAAATTGAGCTAGCTAGGAATATGCCTTCTGCTAAGAGAAAGGACTTTGGGTTTGTATCTTTTGACACCCATGATAATGCTGTTGCATGTGCTGAAGGCATAAACAACAAGGAGCTGGGAGAAGATCATAAGGTTTATATATTTTCTGTTGAAGCAGTCTTCTCTAAATCCACTACCCATGAACTAAATTTTTGTGGTAATTCTCCATGGGCTTACATCTTGTATGATGTAATGTTTAGGTAAAAGTAAGGGCTAGATTGTCTAGACCTCATCAGAAAGGTAGAGGCAAGCGTGGAATTCGGGGAGATTTTAGGATGAGCCGAGGTCCTCCCAGAGTTGGTCATATCTCTTATAGTCGTCCTCCACCTCCTCGTAGGTTCCTCGGACGAGGAACAAGACCTATAACTTCTCGGGGTCCGCCAATCAGTTTGCGAGGTCCACCAATCAGTATGCGGGGTCCACCAATTGGTGCTCGCGGATTTAAGCATCCTGTTCCATACCGCGAGAAGCGTCCTTTCATGGCAGCGACTGAGAGGCCTAGGCGTTTACCTCCACCAGAGAGATCCTATGACAAGAGGCCGCCAGGTTAATTTCTTCACTCATTAGTGATAAGCTTCACTTCTTTTTGTTTATCTACCCTAAGAGGATATTACTGAATCTTTTTCCTGCTATCATTTACAGTTCCTGCTTACCCCAAAAGCAGCTCAAAGAGGGCGTACAGTAGGCGAGATGAGCCTTCCCCACGAAATAGAGCTGTCGCTGAATATGCACCTAGAGCGCCTGTTGAAAGGCGTTCATCTTACAGGGATGAGTACTCTGCTCGTGGATCAGGTTACTCTGACATACCTGCTCCTCGTAGTGCTCCCCGAGCTCTAGATAGGAGAGCCTATGCAGAAGAAGGTTATGGCCGAAAACTTGAAAGGCCTGCTCCAAGTTACCGAGAAGGCCGTAGCAGCCGGGACTATGATTCAATTTCAGGATCCAAGCGCCCTTACTCAGAATTGGTGGGCATATGTTCTTTATTACTCCTTTATTCTTAAGGAAAGCTGTGACTTTTTATGTGTCTCATTTTCGTGCAATCTGGATTGGTAACTGCATTGTAGGATGATGTTCCTCCCCGGTATGCTGATGTGAGCATGCGTCAGTCAAGAGCTCGATTGGAATATGGTGCCGGTGGCAGCAGCTCTCAGTATAGTGATCCTTATGGTGACAGGTCTGTTTGCTTTATCCAATCAAGTGATCTCTATCATTTTAGCAAGGGCATCTGTGATTCATGTATGAATTAGATTTGTACTTTGTAGTAATAGAAGATTTTTTATGTTTAACAGGATTGGACGCACTCATATGGGATATGGAAGCAGTCGTAGTTCTCTTTCTGGTCAGGATGGGTTGTACAGTGGCCGTCAGGGTATGGATTACAGTGGAGGTATACAAAATTCTCTCATTTATCTAGCATAACATTCATTTGCCATTTTTTACCATTCTTTATTATTTATTAACCAATGTTTTCCCCTTTTTTGTATTTACTTATAGGTTCAGTTAGCGGTAGTGATGTCGGTGGAATGTACTCGTCAAGCTATAATAGCAGCTATCTTCCTCGTGGATCTAATGTAAGCTTGTTTATTACTCTTGTTTCCTTTTCTTGAAATATTTTTTAATTCTTACACATACTTTTGTTTTTGTAGGTTGGTGGTAGCTCATATTCCTCAATGTATTCGGGCCGTAGCTTGGGTGGTAGTGGATATTTGGGTGGCAGTGGCTCTGGTTACTACTGAGGTGCACATTTTTACCCTGTACTTATTGTTATAGTCTTATTTCTCAGCACAAGAATGAAATTCCTGTGATAATGCAACTATTGATTTGACTGTTGCAATCATTTTACAATCTGCTGTTATAAATGAAGGCATTAATTGTTTTTAATACTGGTTTGGCTGGTGCGCCTGGGCCTTGGTCATCACATGTGGATTTGTCTCTATTGACACAGATTTAAGATCTCAGAAGGATGGTGTAGGCTATGGAAAACCTGAAACCTGAAGCCCTTTGTTATGATGCCTACAAGCTTGGAAAAGAAAGTGTAGTGCAGATATGCGGGCTATTTATTGACGAGGGAAAACTCTATGGAGTTGAGTTTAGAAGTCAAAAGCATTTGATCATTGGTCAGGGCATCTACTGCACTCCTACTTAATTTATCTCAGTGTAAGAAAGTTTGACTTGGTTCATGTTAAGAACATCAAGCAAGGCCCTAGTGTGATGTATGAAATCATGTTTCTTCCATGCTTATTCAGACATCTTTGAGATGGATTATACACTGTTAAGTTTTCTATGAGCAAGATAAATGAGACTGTATAGAATTCGACCTCAGATTTCTGGATAATTTCATGCTGCTTTGTTTTTTTGGATTGAGTTCAACAACAAGAATTCTTGAAGCTTTGTGCTCATATATGAGAGGGAACTCCATATGGCACATGAAAGAACCATTTCTTCTGAGCATAAGCAGGGTCGTAACATTAAGAAAAAAGTTTTCAGTTTGGCCACACCACCATTTAGGGATTGATGGCGCATTATGCTCTTACTGTATGCTCACATTCTCTTGAGTTATGTGTGTATAATGGGGTTAACAATGTCCTTAAATCCTGGTTCAACAAGTGACCATAAAAACCGTGACTTAGTCTTTGGAAATTCCACACTGTTGGGAAGGATATTAAGGTTACTCTCGATGAGCACATAGGTGCCCCTTAGTGAGTAACCAAGTGCAGATGATGGAAAACCATATCTTCGATACTTTTTGACACATTTCTTCTTGTTGTTAGTCTATAAGTAGTTATGTTGTGGATTGATTGTGTATTATGTGCTTACTGTTTGCTAACATTCTCGAGTGCATTTATACCTCTTGTAGTAGCTGATTTAACCAACTTCAGGGTGATGGAAAACCCTATCCTACCAAGTTACTCACTAACACACATCTTTATGCTTGTTGATGTTGAAGAGAATGACATTTGAAGTATGCAGAAGTTCCAAGTTTTCTGGCAATTTATAATGATCTCACTTTTTATGTTGTTTATTCCTGAGATGGCATAGTTTAATATGGATGCAAGATATCTAAGACAAGTGTGGGTAACCAAAGCAAAGAAACTTAACATTTGTTGGGATAATATTCTGGATTTATGATTGAGAGACTGTTCCTAGTGAATAATGTCTTATGTTTTCTACCACCTTATACACGGTGATGTCTGAATATGCAGAAGGAGCATGTCTTTTGCCACCTGTTAATTAACCATTTCTCAAATGCTGCATGGATTTGGGGTGATGAAATAGTTAAGATGGATTAAAAGGCAGGGGTCTTGGGGGAAGCATGGTTCTAAATGTTTCCAACAATTTGATCCTTATTTTACATTTGGTGAAACTCTTGAGGGTTTTATTGTTTAAGTGGTAACTACAGATGGGGATCTGACATTTGGAATTTGCACTAGTTGTCATATGTGGTTATTTTGCATTTTAACTTGAATACATATTTCAATTGGGGTTCGAAGGTGGAACATGAAGTCTCACGATAGAAACCTGAAGAGTTCAATAAGGTTCTTGATGGAATCCATTGGAGGAGGAACAGAAGTTTATATTTTCGTGACATATTATCTCTGGTTATGAGTATGGTCTAATTATGTGTGTACCACATCATTCCCTATCAGAATATTTTCTTGTATTTCTCTAACATTTGCCATGAAATGCAAGGAAACTCATTAATTTAGACTGATTTTTTTTTGCCTATTACATTATGAAAATGCTGACATCTTGGTGTTTGGAATCCACATGTCTGAAATACTCCCTCCTCCCACAAGTAGTTGTGAAATCATTGTTGTATAAAGACTCAGGAACCCTGCTAAACTCCTTTTGTGTAAAGTATCTTGTCAGCACTTCACTTCTGCCCAAATCCGCATTATACATTTGACTCCTGCTATGGCGCGTAGGGTTTGTACCCTTCAATGTGCCTTTTAATGGCAGGAGTGAAATAATGCTCTGTTTACGTATTTTGTGCGCATTCTGCTCAACTGATCTGAATTAGAGTCAGATTTTATATCCTTGAATTATATTCTCCAGTTTACTACTTTTACATCTTATTTATAGTCTTAGTGTTATGCAATACTTGCAATGAGCACAAAGGCCTTGTTGTAACAAAGAATCTTTCTAGAAGTTCATGAAAATTTATTTCTTATTGTTCAATAATATTTGTGTATACCTGGGATATTTTTTGTCAATTTTCCTATTACTTTATTATGTCACTTTATTATTCTATCAATATTGATTGTTATCTGCGATCTATAAAACTAAAGACCATTGCTTAATGAACTATTGCTTAATGAAGTCTATTAACATTATGTTATTAAATTGTCATCTTATGGCTGAAGGAATCTTTTGTTGACGATGATACTTGTAATGTCTAGTTTATTTCACCAGTAACATGCAAGTGTGGCATGGTATTTGCCTTGAGCCAAGACAACATCAGACATTGATTAAGGTGTAGTGACCTGAGCTTGAAACATGATAGAATCCTTATTGTAGATGTGTTTATTCAAGGATAAGAGTTTTGATATAAAGTTGAAAATAGATGGCAAACACTTGTTCACATGGTCAGATAGGAAATTCATTGATTCAGTTGACACTGCTTTATTGCATTACGTTATGTACACATCAAAAACTTTGACGCGATACTTAGTAATTAGCATTTATTTTCTAAATTACAGATGTTAATTTTGTAGACTGTTAATTGGTTTTACAAAAGCTCCAATTCGTTAATGCTATTTCCACTAGATTTTCAATTATGTTTATGCTGTAGAAGTATACCATTTACATTTACTAGTTAAAACTTAAAGCTGGAAAGCTGGTAAATTCTCTGATTCCTGTTTCTTTTTGTGTATGTCGGGAGATAAGCCTACTTTTGATTATAGTAGACCACTAGTGGGTTCAGATTGGTTATGCGATAATAGAAGTGAAAATCATTGAATTTTATTAATCTGGCAAATAGCATTAACTCCCAAATGTAGAAGTTAAAATTTTAATAGTGATTGTTATAAATTATAAATTATATCTCATACTCTTGCAAAGAGTTATTATAAATTATATCCCAAAAATGGAGGTTTAAATTGCAAGAGTTATTACCGTAGATTAAATATCATATCCTTGCCCACAACACATCAACATGAGCACTGCACGATATGATGCATTTGCACAACAAATTAGAAAAATTGTAACTCAGAAGTGTGGTGCCCACTGTGCATATGCTTCACTCTCTCTATATAACCAAGGTCGAATGTGCTGCCTTGTTTTGAGGAACACCCTTGAATACCCTGTCTACACATAATCCCTCAAGCTGGAAATATTATTGTGGTGGTTAGCTGTTGATGCATGCATTTTCTTTCTTGTACTTTGCGCTTAATAAAGCTTTTTTTGTTGGAATTCCTATTATGGATACATGTTTATAAGATATGTAATCGGATGTCAGTATGGTCCGAGTTACCTTGAAAGCTAGAGATTTGAATTTGTTTTGGGTAAATTTTTTTCACGGGTAACATGACCATTTGTTTTTTTCCCGTGTTTCGGTTTTGCTGCCATCTTAGATGTGATTATTCCTCCGCAAGGTGTTCTTAAAACTTTGTACAAAACTAGTATATATTAGCTGCCTGCCATACCAAATTTTTTTATAGAAGATTACCTGTTACAATTCAATCCTTTTGCATAATTTCCACCTGATGATTGGATTCAAGTATGGTACCTTGTGTCATTTTGCCTGCTGTTTGGTTCTGGTGGCTCCCCTGTGTTGGAAAAGTACTGCTGCTATTTGGTTTCTGGCATCTCCCCTGCATTTGTAAATCATGGCGACCGACCAATGTTTTTCGGCGCTCAAATATTTTGAGGCCAGCAAAAGTACTCCCTCGATTCGAAGACATTGAAGGTAAGGGTAGTTTTATACATCTCCTTCGCCAACATTATCGAGAGGGCATGCAAAGCAACCGTCAACATCCAGTCTTTTGTTTATATTTCACTTGTTGTCTCTCTCTTTTACCGAAGGTCTGGTAACGGTGCTTGCTTGTGTATCTGGAGATGTGAACAAAATAATTTATTTTCAGCTCGCGAAAGTCGTCTTGAATGTTACTAGTTGTTTCAAGGTTTTTGTTTGGCATCATCGTTGTCTATCATTTTCGAAAATGAGAATGTCGGGATGCTAAATGGAGATGGATCGCCTGGATCGCCGATCAACTTTCAATATGTATTATTCCAGCTAGCGTTACAGATTTTGGGCATAAACAAATTTTAATCCTCAAAAGCTCCGAGTCGATTGCAGTGATGGAATGGAAATTATTTATTTCGAAAGACTATAAATTTTAATCCTTGAGCTGATATGCCATGCGTAAAATCCTGGGTTCTTTTCCTTAAAGCCAGTGTACTCACGTAATTAAATCTTTTAATTCTTTAATGGATATGGATAAAGGGTGGAAGTCGATTGAATAATTATCAAGTAAATTCATATAATATTTGTCTAATTATTTGTTCACGGATATCAAATAAATCTTAGTATTTGTGAGTTAAATGAATCCAATGTAAGCATTTATATGTTTGGTGCATTTGCTTATGCATTAAAATTTAGTCTCTCGTCGTTACATTATTACACTCATGATGTAAGCATACTAGTTTTCGAACTTACAAGGCTTGCATCAATTTCTATAACTAAATATTGAGCAAGCATATTTGTGCGTCATAGTTATAAGAGAACAGATCTCAAATAAGAATTTTAAATTTAATTTTAAGCAATCGAATAATTTAGTAAAATAAAAACATCTTTTCAATCAAATGTAGATATTTTCTTTGCTAAATGTTTAATATCAAATGGGAATATTAACAGATAAGAGCATTGAATAGTTCATAAATATTCAATGAATTTTTTCTCTTCGAATTTGAGTTCAAAGATGTTCAAATAACAAAACTAGAAATTTTGACTCGAATTAGAAGATTTGAAATTGGATACAAACATGACCACCACCATACTTGACTCAATTTGTTTTCTTTCCTGCCTAATGGCAGATATCATAATGAATGACCTTGATTAATCAAAGTAACAATGAAGTCATTAAACAATGAAGTAAATTTAGATGAACCATTAATACATGATTAAATAATTGGATTTGATAAAATCTCTAAGTACTACGGCGAATTTCTTCCATAAGCGTGCCCCCACCAAATTTTGGTGCGAGCTCTCACGCATATAAAGATAAGATGAACCCTCGCCTATATAACGCAAGGAAATATTGATTCGTTCCGATGGACCGGGGATCTCTCCTTTTATACAGTGGCAAAGTCAAGGTTTTATTTTAGTGGTGTTACTATATAGCTTAAGAGTTCATTGAAGTAGGTAATCCTCGTGATTATCCCCCCTAGTGTCAGTCATCTCCTAGTCCTAGTGGTGTCATAGTAAATACATGTAAAGTTAAGTAAAAATATCTATAAAATAGGCAATCCAGTGGTGTCCTGTGACACCACATGACACTATATAGCTATGCCATTGTCTTTGTATATAATGAGAAATTGGTGGTGTACTTCTAAATGCATAAATGTCGCTACCTAGCTCATAAAACAATGTCACATGTTATATGCTAATTTATTATTAATTTACAATTCTTATATTACGGGTTTATTTTCTATCAATAATTAGAATCCTCATCAAATTAAATCAATTCATAATTAGAAAATTCTAATTATAGTCAAATATTTGGTAATTCTTTTCCAATCATAATTTTTAATTCACTTTAATTATCCATAATTTAAAAAGCTAATAATCACATTGCTAATTCACTTTAATTATTCATAATTAAAAAAATCTAATAATTATATTTTAATTCTCTTTTCTTTTATACATAAAAGAGTGCACTATTAGCCTTACATTTCAAAAAATTACCATGTGACTCTTCTTATTTTTTTAAAAGATAAATTTCACTAAACCTCTAATATGTTTAGCCGTTTGGCGTTGAACCCACAAAAATTTTCAAATCTAGTAATAAGTTTTGGAATTTCAAAATAACCACCAAAAACTTTGATTTTTTGCACTTAACCCCATGATGTCATTTCCCTATAATTTTACACTAACAAACATTATCCTTCAAGACTAATATATACCTATCAAATCATTCATATTTGCATATTAACCTATAAAATTACAAACAACTCTCAAAAATATCAAAATTATAATAACCCTCTAAAAATATGAAACTACAAACGATTCCCTGAAAAATCTTAAAATTAGAAAACTCATTTAATTCTAAAAATTACAGAGAAACTCCTCAACAATCTAAAAATTATAAACTACCCCCTTTAAGTTCTAAAAAGTATAGACAATACCTTGAAAACTCTAAAAACTACTAATGAATTCCTTAAAAATATAAAAATTATGAAAAAATTACAAAAAAAAACTTCTAAAAGTCTAAAACTTACAAGACAACGTTAAAAAAAAGAGGAACTACCTGAAAATAATTAAATATTACAAGTAGCTCCCCATAAAAAAACAAATAAAAAAACAAATAAAAAAACATCCTTTTTAAAATCTAAAAATTATAATGGGCCTCCTTAAAAAAAATCTGAAAACTACATCCTTGAAAATAATAAATAACCATTTGTAGGAATTTTCTATTGAAAGTTATTTGCGGTCAAGTGACAAAACTAAAAACATATTGGGTATTTTCTTCCAAATTTTATTGCAAGTTTTTTGGTAAGTCGATCGCACATTAACTAACAATGTTAGTATGGGATCTTTTTGAAAATATATATGAGTGGTTACTATTGTTACAACATAAATTGCCTATCAAATTAAGATGAGAACTAGAATCCTCAATGGACGGGAGAATCAAGCGAATGAAGCATAAATAATAAAAACCCGGATCTCATATTCTGTGAGCGTAAGAATAAATTGCACTACATAAAAGAATAGAGATGAAGAAAGAAATGGTTTAAATCTTCCATTTATACTTGAAAAGAAAATTTTGATTTATTGTTAGCCTTACATCTCAAAAAGATTGTTATATGTCCCTCCCTAATTTGAAATAAAAACTATCCACATATGGAGTAATTTGGTACAAAACTATCCACATATGAAGGAACTTGGTACCAAACACAAGTTTTTGTGCTTGATACCAAGGTCCTATATTTTTCTCATATATATAGAGAGACTAATGGCTATCATATGTCATATAAGGGGATTCCCTCATATACAATAATGTGGTATAATCTCCACTAAGTGTGATTATGAGGCATTCTCTCTCCTACTTTATTCAATTGGTGGAATACATATATATGTATACACACACGCGCGCGCGCGCACACACACACACACACACACACATATATATATATATATATATATATATATATATATATATATATATATATATATATATATTCTTTTTGTAAATTATTTGTCATCATCAAATATATATATATTGTTGGCCTTCTTGTTTTGATGATGTTTAACAAACAATTTACTTCTAATGTTGTTTGTCTAGTGTTTGTGTTTTCGTATTTATTCTAGGCAAACAACGAGTTGGAGGATGGATGAAATCGAGCATTCACGATCATATCATATGGAGGTTGGCAGAATTATGAAGTGAAGCCTACGCAATTCAAAGTTAAAGATCAAGTTCAAGCTTCATTCGCAAGTGTACCAAGTCGAGCTTATTGAAGATCAAGATCTAGCTTGGGTAACTTAGTTTAAGTTTTATATTATGTGTGTTAAGTACCTTAAGCTCAATATCATATACACACACGTATTTGGTTTTTATGTATATATATAGTTATATATATACATGCATGGTTTTGGGTTTTCATATTTACAAATATGAAATTATATATTTCATATTTATTATTGTGATTTGGTTTAACTACTTAGATATGAAACAAATATACTTTCATATACATACTCATATGTTTCATTTTCTATTGTACTTGTAAAAATATTGTATTCTTAGTTTTTAAACTTAACAATAATCATATATATATTTTATTAAGTCTACATAATCATTGTGCAAAGTTTTAAAACATGGTTTAGCCAAAATGACAAAATTCACAAGTTTACATTTTCATGTTTTGGCCTATTTTGTAAATTGATGATATTTTTCATTTGGGAAGTCCTTTTTGGAAACTAGTCATTGTAGCATGTTTATTATCATGTCTACAATCATTCCCCAAGTTTTACATTTTTTGAAATTTATTTGATATTTTAAACAGTGTTTTAAAATCAGCAAATTATTTTTAAAACCTGGATTTTTATATATCAGTTCACGGTCGACCGTCATGGTCGATCGCGCCTGAGTTCTTTCGTCAGTGGGCAGCAGAGACTTTCACGGTCGACCGTGAGCTCGAGATTTCCCACGGTCGACCGCCACGGTCGACCATCTGGAGTTTCTCCTGTTGTTTTTGTTGCTCGCGGTCGACCGCCGCGGTCGACCACCGTTTATCCCAACGGCTCTTTTGGTACAGAATTAGATTTCTGATTCTTAGACTGTTTGGTCTTTTCCTTTGGGGTTTTTGTTGTTGCTTCCTCTTCCTATATAAACCCCCAAACCCCCTTCTATCTCAGTAACCCAATGGGATGTTTTAAACAAGTTTATAAAAGTTTTAACAGGGATTTAAGTTTGGTTTAAAGCTGTTTTGGTTGGTTCACAAGTGGAGGAGATCATCTACATTGTTTGAGCTTCCTTTTAATCCATCTCTCCATCTTGTTTTTCAGAGAAGAATTCCTAAACTCTATTTCTAGATATTTATTGTTTTATTCATAATTTCTATATGCTAGATTTTGTTTGAGTTTAGTTGTTTTTATTATTCTCATTGTTACACACACCCACATGAGCTTTTAGTATTTACATACATAGTATATTAGGGTTGTGAGAAATTGTAACATTTAGTTGAGCTTTAATTGAGTTCTCGCATTATATTAGAGCAAATCATTTGTTATCTTTGTGAGATTGTAAAGTTTTTGGTTAGCTAGAAAACCGAGTGTGAGGAGTGGACGTTGATCGGTAAACATTGAAAATCGATATTGTGAGTGAGTGTATACGTTGATCGGTGATCGTTGAAAACCGACATAGTGTGGTTGTAAACGTTATTTGGGTGAGCGTAGA